TATATATATATATATATATTTTTTTTTTTTTACTGTTTATAGATACTGAGCTAACATTCAGTTTGGTAGTAGCTGAGACTCATCCCAAATGTATATTCCACGACTAACTCACAGGTGCCCAAAGTGGGGCCCGTGGGCCAACACTGGCCCATCTAGCCATTTGATTTGGCCCACGGGCTACTAGGTTTTAATCTCCTGTTTTATGTAGAAACACTTTCACTTACTCATTCTAACCATTATAATCTTTTTTTTTTCGTGTACAGTGTCCTGAGACAACGTATGTTGTGACCTGGTGCTATATAAATAAATTGAATTGAACTGAATTGAATTGAATTAACCATTGGTCTAACTTTATAAGGAGCTGTAGTGCAGATAGTTTTAACTCATGGTACTTAATTATCTTTTAATTATATTACGATTAAACATAAAATACAAGTAACTACAAGAGACATTTAAATCAGATTTAAGCACACATCTATATTCGTACACGCTCTTATATTTTATTATTGCATTTGGCCCACATCCATCGACTTTCATTTTGCCCTCTCAGGAAAAATGTTTGGGCACCCCTGGACTAACTAATCACACAAAAGTTGTTTTTAAAACTTTGCCACCAGCTATAAAAGATAATGCTGTCTGTTAGCAAATCAGGGTTGTATAAAATGCATCAAAGTGATGCTTGTGTGAAAGTACCACATCTTGCCATAAAATGACTTTGGTAAGAGTTCAAGTCTCTTCTAAAAATATTAGATGAATAAAAGTCTTAAAGTCTTCTGACCCTACTTGTACTTAAGTATCAAAAGTAAATTTCTGATATAAAATGAATAAAAGCATTAAAAGTAAACGTTTTGAGTAAAATTGAGTGATTAAAATGTCAAAACTAACATTTATTGGAAAGTGACTGTTCAAGAAAATATAGACACTTTTCTAAAGGCCACAATACCTATATTGTTATGTTAAATATGAAACCTCAAAATAACTATTTTTGCCATTTTAATTTAATTCTGAAAATACATTTTTTATCCACATTTAAACTTTAATCTTGAGATTTAAAAATAAACAAATATATTCTATTTTAATGGTCCTTGTCTCAAGAAATGGCATATTTAAAAAACTATGACGTTTTGCCCATTAGAAGCTAAAACCACAATGGAATAATTTTTACAATTTGTTTTTTGTCTGCCTCATTTTATCCTGAACCTGTCACCCTTTTAGATCATGTGATGAAATGGTTAATAACTCACTTAGTTAATAACTAACTAAGTAACTAAATGGCATCAAAGATTTAAAAAAAGATTTAGGATAAATCTTCTCTAAACTAAAATGTTATGTGGTCTGATAAAATGAACAAGCTCTAGCCACCTAGCCTGTGCAAATTAATTAAAAATAATTTGAACAGAATTTTTATCATAAACGTTCAAAATGTTTAAAAATATCTTAAATAGTTAAATATTTTGTCATTTTAAATTTTAGAATTTGTCCAACTCATTTTGTTTTTATTATTTTTCCCCAGCATTTTTTAAAACAAATTTAGTTCTATGTACAATAAAGCATTTTGACTTTAAATCCAAATTCTAAGGATGAAAATGTACAGTATTTTGACATTACATAAAATCATTACAAATGTCAAAAAAGTTGAAGCTCTATCCATTTTTCATAACTCTAATTTTAAATATTATTAATTTAGTTTAATTTAATTTAATTTAACTGTGTATAACAGTCCCACATAGCTGACAGGTGTTGGCCAGATCTGGAGTCAAGCTGGCGCTGTTGGGCGACTTCTGGCATGGCCAGTGGTTTGTCAACAAGATGTGGGCCAGGTCTGGTAGTGGTGGTGCTGATTGTAAAATGGCACATCACAACTGGCCCAGTTGTAATTTGGTTTATAAGGTGCTGGTCCATCTATGGACCACTTCTGACAAACTATCTATATGTACAACAGGATAACAGCTAAACCTGAAACAAACATAAAGTACAAAATAAATGACTGTAATTATTTTCTTTAAAATAAACAGAAGTTAAGCAGCCTTGATTGAAATGTCCTCAAACCTGACAGCATTTCTAAACTTAGTGAGTAAACATTCTTAAAATCTGAGGGCTAAAAATAAGATCAGTTCCATTAAAAATAAAAAAAATGAACATGCTTATAAGGACTTTTTACCACTGATTGGTTTGGTGCAATGGACACATTTCTTGGCGAACAGGTTGCAGAAGCATTCGAGGCAGTAGGCAAGCTCATCCCGAGAAGTGAATCTCTGGTTGGCGAGCTGCATCTTGCAGCCATTACAAACGAAGCACTCCTTGTGCCACGGCTGGTCGTGGTAGCTCACCCCTCCAGTGGTAATGGTCTAAGAGATGGAAAACAACTAAAGTTTAAGTTGCTCTTAAATGGCTTTTTATTTTACTTATGGTTTCACCAGCATACACGTCCCTGTGAATGAGAAGGTTGACTCTATGCATGTTCAGGCAGCAGGAGGGACTGACTGTTGTGTGTGCACCAAACATCAGTTTTGATTAAACAACCTTTTTTGGAGCTGTGCTGGAACTAATACTTTTAGGTCTAAGCCAGTAATTCATGACATCCTTTACTGACCTAGGTTTTCATGACATGCTGTTCATCTGCAGACAGAATGATTAAAGTCAGAACAAGATTTGCTAACAACAGTCATGCTGCGTTCACACCAAACGCGATTTCAGCGTCAGGAGCAGCAGGTTTACATGCAAAGTCTATGGTGGACGCGCTTCAAGCAACGTCGGGAAGTTCTG